ATGGATTAATCATAAGAAACCATGATACGATAAAGAAAGAAATATACTAAAACTTATAAAAACCTTGGTGATTTTTTTCATATTTTTTTGGTCTTGCGATTGGAGAACCCTTTTTGGGTAGACAAAGCTTTCTTAACATAAGTACTATAAAGAATTGAAAACATTTACCTCAAACAGGAGCCATGAAGTACCGTGTAAATTGGACTAGTCCTTTGTCAAATTTTAAAGGCGAAGAAAAATAATGATTTGTGTTTAGTTAATTTTCGAAGTAACTTGTAATAATAGTTTTAAATCCAAAACCGTTAGATGCGATCCGTATTTGATATTTTTTTTTTTTCTAATAAATGGACATTTCTTTTAGCTACTGTAATCTGTCAAAGCGGCTATTACAACGAGCTTCCACTTTAATAATTATTAAAGAACATTTTGCCAACGGTCCATGTAATTATAATATAAGAACAAAAATTAATTTATATCGTTCATATTTATTGAGTATGCTTGTTGAATTTGGCCTCAATAATCTCTTTAATATTTTTAAGACATCAAAACACATTTTTACACAGAGACAAGTTAATTAAATTTTAAGATTAAGTATATTTTACCGATTTAATATACATTATGATTTAGGTATGGCAGGAGATAAAGAAATTATTGGGAAGTCGGAGAATAATAAATAAGGTAGCATATGTTTTTGTGTGTAGGTTTTCCAGCATTTTATTTTTTTATTTGTGCATCCGTATATACCTATATTTCAATTTAAATAAAAGCTTGAAAAAGACGTCAAAGATATTTTTGATTTCAAAAAATTATTTCGAATTTCCAAGTCAAACTCGACTAGTCGAATACAAAGTTAGCAAACATTTATGTCAAGTTGTTCACAAACCAAACAGGATCGCTTACTTTGAGTAAGAGCACTGAAACTTCGATTGGAACCAAACGAAGGTCGGGTTACACTGATATTGATAGTTAAACAGAACTTTCATACATTGAATCTATTGAACGTTACCATTATATGTTGTTGATTCAGTGGTATTATTATTGTCATATGTTCAGCATATCAATGCAACTTGTTAGTCTTGTAATAATTTAAAAAAAATTCTACACGACTAATGTAGGTCCACCGGTTAAAAGTGTAATTTAGCCAATGACAAAGATTAGGTAATGTTAGTCTAACAATTTTGTAGTATTAAATACTGCCGACGTGGATTCGTGTTTCAAAGAACAAAAAAGTCACTTTAATTAGAGCAAAACAAACTATGCCCCCCAATTAAGAGCGTCCTGGGCAGTTACCTAGTTTGCTCACAAGGACGGGCCAGCCCTGCATACGGTCGATGCAATCTTACATATCTCTGAGAACTGACTCATATATGATATTATATTTAACCACTTTGCAAACTCGACGAATGATCCGTCTCGTACCAACGCATAAAAGCATACTTTCGATGTTTGACTGATTCCATCATCTATACGATTAAAAAAAATTGGAGTGTCTGGTTGTGTTATTAAAATATCAGCCATGTATTAAATGCATGCATACACGATACGTATTTTTTTTTCCAATTTTACTGGCAACTAATTTCTGAAATGGCTGGACCAATTTTGACGGAACTTTCATTGATAGATAGTTTATGTTTAGATAACTTTGGGATGCAGTCATAAGCCGTCCTTACTTAAACAAATTCGTAATAATAACAATGTTAGTAAATGTTTTAATTATTATTTTATTTTGTGTTTATTACATTAATATAGATGAGTAGCCCCCGTATTATGGAGTATCTAAGACAAGGAAGGTACAACAACAGCCAGACCCGAGAGAATATAGAAAAAACCATATCCTACATTGAACCGAGTACCGTACTCCAACCCGGGACCACAGAGACAGTGACACCTTGAAACCAGTATGTGAACAACCCGGCTACGAAAGTAGTCGTTGTTCACATACTGGTTTCAAGGTGTCGTTATTGATACGTTATTAATAACGACATCTTGAAGTTATTGATACTTAAATACTATTTTAAAAATAAACTATAGCAAATATAGTGTAAGTAGCATCGATAGCAAAGACAAATGTTATATATTTTTTTCACATATGGTGATAATATTTACGTCAAATAAAAAAAAAACCTGGTATCGCTAGGTGATTTATCAATTACTTTACATAATCATGTGCCCATTGGGTCAGCATAACGTGACACATATTTATAGCAGTTACTGCTTCCAGGGACCATTTAGGGTTTCTAACTATTCCAATTTCGAAAACTTTGAACCGCTATTTTTCATCGGACCGGGATCACGACTGAATGTCAACCGGTATAGCATAAAAACTCTTTGAATTTGAACCTTAGCCAGACTTCTTAAGAGCTTATTTAGTCATCGGTTATTCTTTCGACATTTGCTTCGTTCAATGTGCTGTAAAGCTTAGACGTTGCATTTTTCATTTTAGAATTCATCTAACTCTTTATCTGATAACTATTACTATGGAGTAGATCAAATGAACGATCCACATTTTTTAGTTTTATTCTCAGCGTCCTAAAGAATTGAAGGAGATATGTAGTATGTTTTAGATCTATTAAGAGCTGATAAAACTTAAAACATAATGGTGTGTGTATGTGACAGAGTAACATATCTAAAAAACTTTATCTCTTTTTAAAGGTCTATATGCAATTGCAAAGTCTTTTAAAGTAATTCTTATGGCATTTGGAATGAATTTCAAAATCAGATCAAAAATCAAAAAGTAATAGAATCTTAGAACAATATTCACATGGATCCAGATGCTTATAATAACATGATACACTATTTCATAATAAACGGCCGACTAATAGAATAGTCGATGAGGGGAAAGCAATTTTGCGCAAAAAAAATATTTCCTTTTCCTCGAGATGATAAAAATACTATATGTAATAAATATACATGAAACAAAAATGATTGTTTTTGAGAGTACGAAGACCTTACCACGAGCTTGTGAACGGGATTCAATTGTAATAGACAGAACAGGATAGTGCTATACTGTGGTATAGTGCTGTCTCATTTTAGCAGATGTCTTTGTATGTTATTTGTGAGCTTATAGTAGGATATTTACACGCCTCTCTTGACTACCACATTCCTCGCACGCAAGGAAGGCCCTTTCGAGGAGTATTTTGTAAGGATCTCCATATTATCGACTTATGGAATTTTGTGCTTGGACTTAGTAAAAATAAACTCTATTTTTAAGATCATTTAACTATTATTTTCTTACATTACGTTATAGGTGTTTGGGGGTTACATACTGTGTTCAATTCATCAGAATATACAATGTTAATATCAGCTAGGTTAGTTAGGATGTTAAAAGTGAAACGCTTCTTAAATACTCAAAAAATAATATGATAAACAGACCACTAAAAATTCTCTTCTTGCGTTTCTAGCCAACTTGCTGAGAATATATAATCATTGTCCACCAGTGACATAAACAATACTACTAATTTCTAGGTACATAAATTTCGCTACAGGTGTATAGTTTTGATACAATATCTCGTACGCCGTTTCTGATGTCTCCTTTTCCACTGCCAGTCAGGTTAACATAGAACATGAACTTTTCCATATTATCTCAGGTCTGGATATTGTTGTACTTTCGTTGTTTCAGATTTTCATAATGCAAGTGCTTTAGTTACTTAATTTGAGATCTGATCTATGTAATGTTATGTTGTCTAATATATTTTTATTAGATTATTATTAAAAATTATGGTAATTGATTAATTAAAAAATATGAGAATTATTCTACTAAGTTCATAACTTTTGCTAATTCAGATATTATTGACACTTAAAAAGAAAATTACTAATGAAAAATGCTTTTTCATTAAGAATATTTACCAGCATAGCATTGTGAATTCAAAATTGATAAAAGATCATACTTATAAAGAACTCATTGATACTATAATAAATTTAAAAAATAATGTATTAAATAAAATGGTGTACTACGGAATTTCAAACATCGATCGACTGTTCGAAGCTCTCTTTTATAGGTCATGCGAAAAGGTCTGCCTTTCCCGAAACATATTTTGTAAATAAGTGGACAGGTTTTCGGTCACTCTATTCAATTTACTGAATTCCTAACTTTATTTTATTTATCGAATCCCTTAGTCACGTAACTTAAAGAAGTTTACCTATTTCCGTTTAAAGAATATATGATGGAAGGAAAGGCTAATTGATCTAAGCGACATTTTGTAAATGTTACAGGAGAACTAATTAAAGTTTTTTTTTTCAGAAAAAAAATCAAAATTAAACAACTATCTAATACACTTTGATTTATTTGATACAGTGTATCCCTAGTTAAGAAAGGAAGTTTTTTAAGCTATGGCTGTTGGCGATTGTGTTTTATTTTAGGAAATTTATGTCGTTTAACCCAAAATGCATCAAATTAACTTATTTTTTAAGAAAGGCATAATGCTATAAATTCTTATACTTACTAAAATAGCTGAAAGCAAACTGGCCCAAGCATCAACATAACAAAAAATATTATAAGACTAAATGAAATAAGTGCCACGTCAACTAACAGTTGAATATACCCAATGAACATAAGCAACATCATGGTGTTGCACCAGAGTGAAGTAGTTTGATGCAGATGTCCATTAGGAGAACTACAAGATAAAACAAAGTGAATCCTTATTAGATTTTTAGTAGATTTTGATGCTTAGGCCATCATTATTCAGCAACGTCTAATGACATTAAGATATTTGTGTGAGTGGTATCAGTTTGTAAATAACTCAAAAAACTGTTTTTTATGAATTATAATTTATTCGAAATCAGTCTTAAACAACGAACGTAATAACAACAATCAGTAAACAAATCAAATTAATGGGTAGCACTCAAACATTAATAAGTAACCATAAAAGTAACCAATGATAATCAGAAGCTGAATTAAATAACAATCGTGTCAGAACACAAATAAAAGATAGTTCTTTACTAAAACACAACAGAAAGTTCGCAATCTTTAATTATCAAGAAATAAGAAATAAAATGATTCTTCATTCTATCTCATCCTCAATATCTGTATCTATCAAAACATCTTTACCAACGCGGTGTGGAAAGTTAGTGTATTCTGGGTGAAAAATTTTGGGAATAACCCCTGTATCACACAGCTTTTTAAGATCTTTGTACTTCACCGTAGTTATTGGCAAAGATACTTTGTACTTCCTCTGTACTACCTTTGGTCTCGAAATTATGGCTATAGAATCGGTCTCTGCATTTTCATCCATGCTGTATTTAACAGTCATGACATTGGGTGACGATTTTTTAAATGTTGCTACCCGAATCTTACTTATCTTACCAGTTAAATTACCTTTGAAATATTTTTCAGAAAACTCTTCATAATTCATGAAATCGTTGTGAGTAAGAGTTTTTACGTAATATGGGGCGGGCTCTCTACGAGCCAACTGAAAAACAGTTGGCCACTGTGATGGTGCCCATATTGTATTATTCCTAACAGAATTTTCGATAGTTGCGTGTATGCTATCGACAGTCATTTCTGTATGCCCTGGTAGCAGATAATTTATTTGTATCGTTTCAATATGTTTCGTTTGAAGTAGTGCGTTATGTAGGGCGGCTAAAACTATTTTGTTTTTGTTCTGCCCCGGGCATGAGTCTGAATATAGAATTAAATTTGTTACTGAACCACGTGAATCCACTTCAGCAATATACTTTTGTAATATTGTAGCTATTTCATTGCCGCCTCTTTTGCCTTCGGTTTCTCCCCACGTATAACAAAAGCCATTTCTGGTACCACTTTCGTAAAAACAAAGGTTGTACACTGCATATTTTCTAGAATAAAAAAGTAACATATTCTCTCCATGTGGGGTATTCAATACCTTTTGGAGATCAAAAGAAGTACAAATCATTGTTTTATTCTTCTTGCTTAGCTTACGGTGAAAATCTAATCTGTCTTTTGATGACTTTTTTTCTTTTAAATGACTTATCATTTCAGAATTTTCTTTTTCATTCTGATCTTTCAAAATGTAAACATTTTACACATTTATCCTTCTTCGGGACGTGGAAGCCAATATTGAACTCCTTTTTGAAAATCTCACGAAATATTTTTTCACCAACAACGTCTATACCTTCTGATGTTTTTGACTCTTTATAAATCCTATAAAGGTTTTTTATGTTTTTAAGTTCAGTGGGAAGATATAATCTGGTACTGTCTTTACGACAGTAGTGGGATGGTAGTGCTGGTAAGCTTTTGATAAAATTAATGGCCGACTCCTTTACCAAGGGAGGTGTTTTATTTTTAGGGATAGTTTTGCCTCTGCCTTCCTCTTTTGATAATCCATACGATGCATTAGCTAAAGTATAACTAACATATTTTGGGCTAACACCCAAAGTGTCTACTAGAAATTTTTTGCAAACCTTACGTCGGCCTTCACCATCGTTAATATAGTAATAATACGTATTGTGCCTCACAGCAGAATCCTTTGACCTCTTACGTTTTATGTCACTTTTAGCAGTCATGCCTATTAGCCAATCTTTTTTTCTTTGGGATGATAGTCCCCAAAAATAATCAAATATATTTATTCTTTTTTCTTCCGAAACATTGCTGCAGTTGTTACCACAGGATTTTCCAATGCATGGATTGGGTTTAAGTAATCTTGCATTTACAATACCTCCGTCTTTTTTCATATACTCTTTTCCTTTTTCTCTTAAGGTTTTTGCTTCTTTGCGTTTATTCTTTCTCTTTTTTTTCAATCCTACTTCACCCACTTTACCATCTTCTGATCTTACTTTTCTTTTCCTTTTTTGAGGTTTATTGTTTTCTTCCGATGAAGATTCATCCCCACTTTCCACCCAAGAAGAGGAATCCCACGCAAAATCCTCTTCTTCGGATAGAAAATCAACATAACTTTTATTTGGTTTGCTTCTCTTGTACTTTTTTTTGGATTTGACTTGAACTTCGTTTGAATTATTCATTTTCTCTGATTCTACGTCATCTTCATCTACTTCAAGAGACTTCCTCAGCAATTCCATGTCACTCTCAGCAATAACTTCCGTTAAGGAAGAAATAAGTTCAGGTTCTTTTTCTTTGTCACTTTGTTCATTTTTAGAAGTTAGTTCGTCATTATCGTTTTCTTTTTGTGTAATTTCGTAGCTCGAGTTTTCTTTATTGCATTGTCTTTCAGTATTGTATGTCTGAAATTATAAAAAAATAATAAATGTTATTTCCACTTTGATAGTCATAGGTAAGGCTATTAATAAAATTAATTACATACCAACTCAAAGTCAACATCCATTTGAATATTATTTTCTGGATAGCTATTTTCTTTGTTTAGATCTTTATTAGTAATATCTTCTATTAGAGCGTTTGCGGTACTGACATGATCATTCTAAAAGAAAAAATAATCTAAATTCACGAAAACTTTTGTTGTATTAAAGTTTTTAAAGGTATAAAGCTTTGCTTACCTGTGACTCTTTTTCCGTATTGCTGCTGATAGAGATTGATTTTTCTTTGTGATTTTGTTCATTGGTAGATATTTGTTCGTCATCAGAGTTTTCTTTTTCTAAAAATAGATAGCTTGAATTTTCTTTATTCGACACACCTTCAGTATTCTCAGTCTAAAATAAAGAAAAGGTGTTGTCACTTTCATAAAGTCATAGGTAAGGATATTAATACAATTAATTACATACCGACTCAAATTCAATATCAACTCGTATATTATCTTCTACTTGTATATTTCCTGTATAACTATTTTGTTTGGTTAGATCTTTGACAGTAATATCTTCTAATAGAGCTTTGGTGGTACTACCATGATCATCCTTAAAGAAAATAATAACGTTAATCAACGAGAACTGTTATAGTTACAAAATTCTTATAATGCATATAGCTTTTTTACCTGCGACTCTTTTTCCATAGTGTTAACTGTATTCGCTAATGGAAAACCATGGATTTGATCATAATAGGATTGACTTCCTAATAGTGTAACAATACGATTGCCTTCAGTTTCATTATTTAAACTGTTTTCATTTTCTATCTTCTTAGATATTTTAGTCTTATGTTGAGACAACTCTTTCACTATCTGCTTCTTAAAATACAACCGGCGTTGTGATTCCATTCTTGCTGAAATGATATTAAAACCGATTGCAGAATATTAATATTAATTTACGTACTATATTTTATGAGATTTAGATACACCCAAATCTATACTAATATTATAAAGAGGAAAGATTTAATTGTTTGTTTGTTTGCAGTGAATAGGCTCCGAAACTACTGGACCGATTTTAAAAATTCTTTCACCTACGGGAAGCCCTATCATATGCGCTGAACATAGGCTAAACGAGTATTTTATCCCAAAAAACGGCAAATAAAATGGGATGGGTATGGGTATAGAATACAGGTAATTAAAAGGGCGTCATAGTCATGTCAAGGTAACCATTGTTTATGATTCCGTGAGTGTTTATATCTATGGTACTCACACAGTTCCCTAGCACCACGCGAGCAAAGCCGCTAACGGAAAGCTAGTAACCTATAAATCAATTATGTATAAGCTATGGTATTCTGAGGGCTTAATCGTATTTTTTATCTCGATATTCCCATGGACGGACCGATATCCAAATATGGAAACATCAAAATTTCGACATTTTTAATTATTATTTTCACATACCTACCTACTTACGGATTTTGTAATTAGCATTAAGAAGATAAATACATTATTATATTTACTTACATGCTTTAGAATGCATCTAGATATCTAGATACATGCCTACAAGTTCTTTCGCGGACAAGTCTCGACACGAACCTAGCTTGAATTTAATAGAGATACCTACTATAAATCAAAACAATGTCTTCTTTATTCTACATTTCTAACGTAATTACAGATGTTTTCATCGGATATCGATTACATAAAACAAAACAATTTGTACTTACCAGACAAAGCAACCGTCTATCTTCACAGCTCGTTCGCACACAACTTGCTTTAAAGTTGGCGGCTGACTGATGCACCTGCGCGGGGGTGGGTGAGGTACTCGTAACGGTCATTTATAGTATAGAGCGCGCAATAATAATCTTAGTTCCAAGCGACTAACGAGTACTCAACCTTATTAATTTATTGGACGGCCTATATGTTAAAACAGACTTCTTAAAATGATGGAAATGCTAATTTAACTAATACTGACTTAACCAAATGTTTCAACCGACTTAATATTATAGATAATAGTTAGGTCAAAGTATCCGAAGTGACATTTCTTATTGTCCTTAAGAGAGACTAAATGGGTCAAGCGACATTGTAAAGTAATATAACTTAATTCAAAATGGTTCAAGCGACACAGTTTTTCAATGTGGTAAAAAGCAAAATAGGCCAAACGACAAAGCTCATTCTTTTGGTTTAATGGAAAATAGACCAAACGACAAAGCAACAACCATGACGAAAAAGCTAAGTGCCTTTAACGACACGTATTATAAAAGTTCGAAAAATCAAAATAACTTAAGTCACCGAGTCCTCAAATTTGTTCAATTTTGTGTCGTTTAGGTTAATGAGCTTAGAAATGAGGCCTGTTTTGCTCTGGGTGATAAGCGCCAAAAAAGTCGTCCAAAAACTTTGGAACCTGGCTCAAACGATGGAGAAAAATTTGCTGATTCCGAATATGTATATAACTCAATATTGAAAAAATTGTCGCTTAGATCAATTAGGCTTTCACCCAAGGCAATTTTTTGTGACTCTCCAATGAAACATATTTCCTTAACCAGAAATTGAAATATAACTAAATAAATATTAGACATCTCATAAATTTTTCGGATCATAAATAATCGAATTAATACCATTGCATTATAGAAATCTGATACTACGAAAGAAATCATTGATATAACTAATTATTTTCTTGTACAAAAAGGTGATATATAATATAATATTGTTTTTTTTTCAGGTACATAATGTTAATATTATTAGTAAATACCATGAAGAGTAAATCAGAAGGTAAGTGTATGAGTTACATAATTAATATATATTAGAAAATTTGGCCTATATGTAATTGAGATTAGTTATTAGTCAAGATAACATTGACGAAATAGTGACAATATTGAGGTCTTGATTTAGAATTCAGCAGGATAGTTTATAGTGGATTTTCCCACAAAGGTTAGCCATACATCATGATGTTTGCATTACTCCGCTTCTAATGCGCAAATCGTGTATGTGGTCCAGAAGTCGATTGACATGTGGAATATAATTATTATACCAACGATGTTTTCGGTGCCTTATTCAAATTATGACTTATTGTCGTTCTATTTAACATAGCACTGCAAGCATATTCCAATGCAGTTAACACTGCACGTTATAAACTTGGTTTTAATATCAGTTATTGAAAAAATAATTGTGACAAATTAAGACGCTCACAATTAACTCTAAGTTAAGAGTACACTTACACTATATGTACATTTTGTACTTACATACAGTACTGTACTTACAATAGGTACTTTTTTGTGAGAACTGCAAAGAGTAGGATGACAATACTTACTTATATATCCATGAATATGTACCAAGGAAGCACGTCAGACTACTACAATGTGTCTCCTCAACAGATTTTTAACTTTACAAACAATGTAATAAGTTTTAAAATCAAGTGGAGAAATTTGACAGCTTTGTATAACCTAACGTGCTGTTGACTGTACCATTTTAAATAGACATCAGCTATGCTATTCCGTAATAAAATCAGTCTAGAATTCGACGTCAAATACAACGCTGTCACAATGTGCAGTGAGCGTCAATTAAATGAAAAACCTTTATCACCATTTGAAGAAGATTTCTTTAATTCAACGTCTCTGCTGTGACAGCGCTGTAGTACAGTCCAACGCTGAGTTTGGTATACAGAATAGCAGTGCAAATCGGATAATGGTAAAATAAATATTAAGTATATAACGGTTAAATTTTTACTTCTTAGGTGGTGCAAATCGGTAGTTTTATTTCATAATAGTGGTGGGTACACTATCAATTTGTGACTGCTGCTTTACTAAGAACACCTTATATTTCCCCCAATTACTTCTGAATTTTTGTTGTGTCGGTTTGTATGTTAACACCTGAACTATGTTTATTGCAAAAAGCTACCGTGACCGCCACCATTAGAGTTTGATCAAGATTAGCTAAAACAGCTTCTACTAATACAAGGGTGCGTCTTGGTGCCTCGTTTGCGTTCATAGATAGTTAGAACTTTGATTGACTTAACTTTCAAGTCAAGGGATAATTTTGTTGATGACACACTTATATATATATTTAATATATATCGGCGTAAAATTATGATCAAATTAGATGCATAATAAAATAAGTATAAAAAAGATCTGATAGATTATTTCCATAGATTTCTAAGTAAGCAGTAATATCGTTGAAGATGTTAAAACTACCTACTTTTGTATACTATTATAAAATATCCCACAAATTCTTGAATCCTGTGAGTAATAATAACCAAAACAACTGCCGGGAAATGAAAATAATTGACCCATACTTCCTTGATGAAATTTAAACTTCAGATTGATTTTGACTTTTGGAACTATTTTCTTAATTGATCTTAACTAGCCAAAATTCATACATCAATCAAAACCAATTCATAGGACATTTTACAAAGCTACTTCAATTTTAATAGATGGTAATGATAATTCAATTTGAATTCAAAGCCTAGTATATACAGGTGTTCCCATTTCCAAGATCTTGGACAACTCGGAAATTTCGAGCAAGCCATTTCATTAAGATATTTCCACCCTACATATATCAAAGACAGAATATCTTCTTCACAGATATTCTATTCACATCGTTTTAGTAGTCAAAGACAAGTGTTACGTTATTGTCATCAAAGACAAATAATAGATAGGTCTTTACCTATGACATTGTCATTCTGCCGTACTGGATATTTCAAATCAAAATATTTTTTTGGCTGATAATTATAATTTCAAATTAAATTAATTTAAAAATTCAGAATTATTTTTAATGAAATCGTCATGTTTGATAGTTAGTGTTATGTTTCAACGCATTCGAATATGTTTATATAATCATGGATAAGTTAAAAATTCGAGTAATTATGAAGTATGAGTACTGTCGTGGCAGCAAAGCGACACAAGCGGCACGCAATATCAATGACGTTTACAGAGCGTACACAACAAACGAACGCACTACCCGTTATTGGTTTGCCCGCTTCTATTCTGGAAATTTTGAACTGAAAAATGAAGCCCGTGGTCATTCGAAAATTTTGGTCGACAATGACGAATTAAAGGCGATTGTGGAAGCTGATAAAACTCAATCTACGGCTGAATTAGCAGCAGCTTTCGACGTTAGCATCAAAACAATATTGGTCAATTTGCGTCAAATTGGCAAGGTAAAAAAGCTTGACAAATGGGTACCCCACGAATTCAATGATCGCCAGCGCGATGTACGCATCGAGACGTGCCTTGCACTGCTCAACAGGCATACAGATGAAGAAATTCTGAACAGCATTGGAACCTGTAACGGGAAATGGATCGTATTCGACAATCGTAAGCGCTCAGCAAGTTGGTTCAGCACCCAAACAATAGCCTAAACGAAAACTTACCCCTATAAAAGTGATGGTCACTGTTTGGTGGTCTAACGCGGGTGTAATTCATCATCATAGCTTCTTACCAAACGGGACGAGCATTACTGCAGTTGTGAACTGGGAAAAACTGAATACAATGATGAACTCGCACTATTTCAACCAGCTTTAGTCTATCATTCGACTCCACTGCTCCTGCTTGACAACGCGCGACCTCATACTGCACAGCAGACGGTGTCCGAGCTACAAGATATGGGATTGGAAGTTCTCTGTCATCCACCGTACTCACCAGACCTTGCGCCTACAGACTTCTACTTTTTCCAGAATGTGGATAACTTCTTGGCGAGAAAAAATTCAATACCCGAGAGACAGTACAAAATGTCTTTGAAGAATTTGTTGCCTTCCGTCCAGCTGATTTCTTCATGAAGGGCATTAGTAAGCTACCAATGCGTTGACAAAGATGCATTGATAGCATGGGTGATTACTTTGATAATAGTAATAAAACATTTCATGAATAACGGCAATTTAATAGGTAAAGACCTAATATTTTGATCATCTAAATTTTGCTGTTATCAAATAAGCATATTTACATTTTTTTCCATAAGTAACACAACATTGAACGAAGCTCGAACAGTGAATGGGGCGGCCGCTAATTCAGCAATTTGTTTGCTTTCACTTTGACAAATAGCAATAGATAAGAAATTCGTGTAAATGGAGATGTTTATACTTTCAAAATAGACCCCTGATTCTACATTGACCCAGAAATTACGTAAGATATGAATAGTAGAATAAAATTAACGGTAGTGCCATTTTTATAATAAAAGAAATATGATAATCTGTAAGTAGCTATTTAGGAGGTAAAATATCTATATGAGAATTCACCCACCTTAACACTGTGTACCAATTTTTAGCTATGTATATTTTTATCAAGATTCTCAGCACCATAGTATCGTTAATATTTTATATCAGTAGATGGTGTTGTAATTTGAAGCTTTTATTTCCATTTTTTTTACAACTTACATGTAAAGCGCTCGCTAAATATTACTATTATATTCGGTATATAAGTATAAGATGTCGGTATGCGATTAAATTTAAATATTTCTGAATCTAATATAAACTATTATATCTAAATAAACCATTCTGTAGCAATATAAATATTTCTCTTGTGTATTACTTATATAAAACTAGGAAGATGTCACAATAAAACAGCTTATTTATTTAAATTCATAAAAACATCTAAAGACGCGAGAAAAATTTAATTAACAACTTTAATCTTTTTTTGTTTTTTTTTATATGGTCAAAAAATGGCATCAACCTCATCAGCATGAATGAGATCAATTTTGTTTCAGAATACCTGGACGCTTTATACGACTTCGCTGATGTTCCTGAATTGAATATAGATGAAAGTACAAGTTCAAGAAGAGCAGTATTAAATACACTTATTGATAAGAAACTATATGTACCATTTATAGTTAGCGTTGAATTTAAAATAAACAAGCACAATGATTCTACATGTTTATTTTCTATAGAAAATGACAGTGAGATGAAGATTGCATTCTGTTTCACGCCGCTGGGTTCCGATGTAATGAAGATCAGTCTAACATTAAATTCTAAAGTAGATGTTATATTCCCGAGAATATCAATAGAGAAGGAAACTTGGATTAAAATGCTATTTTATGTCAAAGAAGAGTCGGCTACATTATATTTTGACTGCAGCAAATTAACCGATGTCAATTTAGAGAATCGAGTGGACGATATATATTTTTCGAGCGACGCATTTATTTATATAGGCCGAGCTCCGAAACGAATACCGAAACCGGAAACTTTCAAGGTAATTTCGTGTCGTTTTATTTTATTGCATCCCTTAGATATAATAAAAAAAGTGGTGTTTTCTATTAAATTATGGAATAGTAAAAATTTCAATTCAAAATCTAAAAAATATAAATACTCCGATATCTTGCTCGGAAAATTTAAGAATATATTCTCATATGAAACTGTATAAACTATAACAATTGATATTTAGAAGCGATAAGACCCAATTATAATATTTTTTACTCAACGTCAAAAGAAAATGTAATTTTATTTCATTAGAGTGCATGAGTATTATTATTAATAATAAAAAGATTGTATTTAAGTAGTAGTCAAGTATTTTAACAAGTTAGATCGAGGTCCAGGTCTTCCCTATGAATGAATGGGATCAAATGGGCCATGAACCACCATGCTGTCCAGTACGAACGTTTAGGTACAACTGCAGATGTAGCAGGGATCAACGGCTTATGGTGCCTTCCGAAGCACTCGAGATAGTTAACCTAATTAACCTATTTGCTTAACCGACGCATTGCAGAGCGAACTAATTTTTTTATCGTAATATTTTCAGCCAACCCTTTCGTTTGATACTGTTTTCTGCCGTCTTTTCCAGTAAATTATAGATTATGTCACCCACGTATGATGCAGTTTCCATTGAGAGCCCAATTACAAATTTGATCTCTGTGAGTTTAGGTATTTAAAGCTTCTCGACCACGTGTCTAAGGTCACTAGTTCACAATAACATAGTATTATAGAATACTTCAATCGTCATAAATGCAAAGACCATATAGAAAACATCAGGGTATATCATACAACGTTTATTAATTATTTCAAGAGGTGAAAATTTGAAAATAAATAATTACGTTATGTGATCTGTTGAGCGTTTTGAAAAATTACGGTCGAAAAGGATTAGTCAAATGTGATATTCGTGAATCGTGTTTTCATTGAAATAAAAAAAAAATATTATAAAATTGTATTTTCTATACAGTTAACTATTTCTTCAAACAAAATTCAAATCTTTAAATTTGATAGCTACATATTTTACAATAGTAATCAAAAACTATCAAACAGATAAAAAAAAACTTAAAGTACTCTTCTCTGTAGCACTTTTTACAAAGTACAGAAAAAATATCGCGCATTTCGAAAGTATGAATGTTATATTTTCTATTCGAATTCAAAGCCATCTTTGAATTTATATTTTTTCCCCAATTTTTATATATTGTTTTAGCATTTCTATGGGGTGCTTCGTTATCTCTATTAGTGCCCATTATTACACGACTGATCAAGAAAATGAGTATATTGTGTTTAGGACTAGTATAATATATGTATGTGATTTTTTTATTCCACCATAAATTTTAAAGAATTTACCATTTAAAAAAGTAGGGCAGGTGGGCGAAAGGGTTTTTTGTGTCATAAATCTAAGTCAGATTATATAACGATGATACCATAAATGACTTAGATGATATTTATTAAAAAAATATAAACTAGTCCTTTATATGATTAGAATAAAACTAGTTAGAATTTACATTGGAGTTTAAAAGTATTATCGATGACATGGTCTAGCCGCTGATCTGTAAGCCATATATTACTGGGAATACCCTCTTATAAGTAATTTATAGATGTTCGAAACTTACACCTATTTTCACTAAGCTAGAACAAGCCATAGATTAACTAGGAAACATCTAATATTACGAATCGCCTAAGCAGATTAATTTAATTTCAAATAAATATTTTTTCTTTTATCCCTTGACATATTAATGACCTGTCATATACGCAAATGCCTAGCGCAAGGCGCCGCATAACGAATATCATAACTTTAGTTATTGCTTAATTTACCTTAGGCGATTCCTAAATAGTTAGGCAACAGATTTGAAGATAATCCTAAGTTTAGTAAAAACGGGCATACCTCTCTCAGAATTGAACCGAATTATTACTGAAAGTACGACATTCTTAAAATTTTGATTGTCGTCGATGTAGCATTTCGTGCGTAGACTATTTTTGGGAGCAAACACTTTTTGTAAAAACGTGTCAATTTGATTACTTTGATTATATAATATCCAGATTCCGTGTCCCATACAAAGTGCAACGATATATAGTGAAACCGTGTGAGATTCGCAAAGAGATGAGCAAAGAGATGAGCAAAGAGTGTAGTTATTGCAGTTTCATTTGTGTCATGATGAGTGATAACAGTATAAACGACGATTCCCTCAGATTCTCACATGTTTTGTTTTTAACTATTCTAACTTATAAATATAATTACAATTTCCCAAATATAACCATTCGGTTATAAAAATGATATGTGAATATCATATCAGTAACTAAAATCAAACTTTCAACTTCTTTTGAACTAAATGATTAAGACTGTAAGAAGTAAGGTGTTAAATCAAATTTATCCAAGAGTCATATTATAGCCACAACGTCATATTTTTATTAACTCGGTAGAGAATAAATCACAAATTTACACCGGAATTCATATTTTTTTATTATACCCTTTTAAAAAAGAAAAAGACAGATAAATAATTTTATAGTCATTATCATCATATTTTGCTAGTTATCATTATCATCAATTATACGAGTTAAAAAATTATTTTGCCGCGCAATTTTCTATCCTCTGTCACTATCCATCTTATTATAGGGCACGATATTAGTACCGCCTTTTTATTACAGTCCACTGTTTAGTACAGACTGTTGTTTTTAATTCAGTTGGAAATATATATAAAAACTTCCAATTTTTATCAATAATGCAAAATGGAAAGCGCTCAATAAAGCAACCATTACCTTATTAATAGAAAAAAAAATGTTATTCCTATCTATATATTGTTTTATAACAGTATAAAATATAAAAGTCCTTATATTTAATTATACACAAATTCAAATATTTCGAAAAATTTAAATATTATACTGCCTTACAGATCAAATGAAGATACTAATTTTGGGACATTTCCTTGCTTATCAAAGAGAAAGTAATTTATTTTTATTGTTCACCAAATAAAAATTACATTGTTCTTTATTTTGTATATTTACCTACCCAGCGCCGTAGCAACACTTGCAATATGCCAGATAATAATCATCATCATCATCATCAGCCTTTTAACGTCCCCACTGCAAGGGCTCAGGCATGCATAATTAATTAATTACCATTGAAATAAAATATGGCGCTTTAATGATTTTTTTTTAAATCGGTCCTTGCCTGTTCAATGCAAACAAACAATCAAATCTTACTTCTTATAATATAAGTTTAGATTATGAGAGTGCTCAAATATAACTGATCCGCCATTTCGGGTGATCCACCATATTGAATTGAGAACGAAATCTTTCTGTAATTTTCGTATTAAAACTCTTTTATTGAATTTCATAACCGGACCGGATCATGACAAATGATGTAATTTAGCTATCCATGCATTGTCATCTAAACTAAAGCTGCTCTAAAATTCAGTTACAACATTTCACGAACATACATATGTTACAAGTTTATAGAGAGACAGAATAAAGAGGGAAGAAAATATACATATAAATTTTCTTACCTCATTATTCTTTTTTCCACAATTCGTCTTGCGCAAAGAAGACGGCGAAGCTTTGACGTCATAGCAAAAATACACTCGATCTCAAAATATATTTCATAGTGAAACGTAAGTTTTAGCCTATTTGAGTCGTCTTTGCAATGAAACTGAGGAAGGAAGCAGTCTGTACGGGTAGTGTTTGACATTTTTGAATCATTCTTTTAGAATGGCTCCCGCACTTAAAGTAGTTTTATTCATGACTTTAAATCACTGTACTCGAGTATGTTCCTTTACGAGTGGTTTACATTACTGCCATAGCGCAAAATAAAATGTTTAAAAAAAATAAATCTACTTTAGAATTCAACTTATTTAAGTTGCAAACGAAGTGCCTGCTAAAGAATTTTATTATCCGGGGCTTTTTAAAATTAAAATCTAGTGTCTTTGGTTTTCCTGGTTAGTTATATAAGCCACTATATAATTAAAGCCTAACCATCATTTATTTATTAATGAATATGTTATTTAAAAAAAACACGAGACATATTAATTTCATAATACTTTTCAAGACTTCAACGCATTCATATTAGTTATAGCACAAAACAAATATTATTAATTAAGAAAAAGTATTCTTTTTAGTGTCCCGAAAAATATACCAGCTTATACTGTTATAAAACATTCTGGTACTATCTTGTCTATGATAATGTAGAAATATAGTATAACAGCTATGTTATTCTCGAATCCGACATCGAGCGCAGCGCTGGCACAGCATAGAGCTACAATAAAATAAAACCTATACAATCTTATGAAGTAGGTTTTATTTAATTGAACTTTTTTGGTTTTCCTGTAGTTGTGTTTTTATTTTACAAAATATTTGATTCAAATTTTGTGGATAGAAGAAAAGAACGCACACTTTTCACGCATTTTATTACTCAAATCGGTAATGATTTAAAACAAGCTTCTACATTGTGACGTCACATACAGTTTGCGAACCTTTTATTTTTTACTAGCTTTTGCTAGTAGCTTCTTCCGTGTGCCATATTTAATTACGAACTTTTATCCCCTTATTCCATTTCAAAATCTTTTTCTGCACAAAAGGTAGCCTTTGTTTTTTTGTTAAGGACAACTGTATTTCTGTTGTCTGTACCATATTTCATCAAAATCAGTTTAGTGGCTAAGGTGTTAAAGCAAAACAGACTAAAGTTATTTTCTTATTTATAATATTAGTGAACGCAATGTCACCGAATTCGGTCGCTAACTCATAGCGATCGTAATTTAACGAATATTGCAAGTCTCTACATTTAAAGTTATCGATTTTTGTCGGTGGCGTAGCGAGTTCAACTGTCAAATTAACGAATTTCGCTAGCTCCTTAGCGACCAAATTTGACAGCTCGATAAGTGACTTTTGCGATCGCTAATAATATTTCTTTCGATATTTTACGGTATTTCGAGGTATTTATGTCGAAAATTTAGTCATAAAGATATTTAAAACGTGATGGCTGAAGCATATTTAGCATTAGATTTAACAGTG